ACGGACGGGGGATAATCATTTGTCTTGACTTCGCCCTAGCAAAGGCGGACACCACGGGACACCACGGGACACCGCTAGGGCCACCGCAGGACGGACGGGCGGACAGGGGAGAATCATTTGTCTGGACTGGCCCTAGCAACGGCGGACACCACGGGACACCACGGGACACCGCGGGACACCGCTAGGGCCACCGCCGGACGGACGGACGGACGGGGGATAATCATTTGTCTTGACTTCGCCCTAGCAGCGGCGGCTTCACTCCTCTCGCGCGCCCACGCAGCTTCGCCTCGCCCGCACGCACGACACGAACGAAACGAAACGATTTCCCGCTTGGGGGTCTCCGTTCCACTGCGATCTCACCCCCCAACCTCCGACATGCGATGCAATGCATGCAATGCAAGGCAATGCAACGCATAACAATACAACGCACTGCAAATCACTGCAAACCAATGCGAAGCGATGCAAATCAATGCAACGCAATGCAAAGCGATGCAACGCATGCAAACTAGTGCAGAACAATGCAACGCAATGCAGCACAGTGCACATAAATGCAACGCATGCAGTAAGTGAGGTAACGCAGCGCAACGCAATGACACGCAATGCAAAGTGATGAACAGCAATGCAGATCAATGCGAAGCAATGGAAGGCAATGCAAATGGACGCAAGGTAATGCGAAACAACACACAACAACGCAATGCAAAACAACGTATGCAATGCAAAACAAGGCCAAACAAAACATAGCAATGTACCGCAATGCAAAGCAATGCCCAGCCAAGCAAATCGATGCAAGTCGATGCAAGGCAATGCCAACCGATGCAAAGCGATGGCAAGCGGTGCAACGCGATGAAAATCAACACAATGGAAATACATGCAAAACGATGCAAAACAATGCAACGCAATGCGAACCGACGCATGCAATACAAGGCAACGCAATGCAAAGCAATGTAAGTCCATGTGAACCAATGCGAAACAATGCGAAACAAGGCAAAGCAATGCAACGCAATGTAAATTGATGCAGAAAGGTGCAAAGCAATGCAAAGCACTACAATACGATGCAATGCATGCCACACAATGCTTGGCAGGGCAATTAAAATCAATGCAATGCAAGGCGATGCAAACGATGCAAAGCGATGCAAAGCGATGACAGGCCATGCACAGCAATGCAAAGTAACGCAAACCAATGCAAAGTAATGCTGAGCAGTGCAATGCAAGGTAATGCAAGGCAACGCCTCGCAAGTGACGGCGTCGGACGGTGGCGACGTGCCACGACCGGCGGCCACAAGCCGGCCAGACCAACATCGAGGCCTCGTTACCTTAGAAGAGAAGTACGAACACCTAAGTGCAAGCACTGTTTGGGGAATCGTATACCTCGGCAGAAATCCATTTCTACTAAACCCGTACTGCGTAGTACCATTCAGGCCACATGAGCACACATGTCAAATTTCTGCCAACACCAGTTTCTTCGGCACGACGACCACAAGCTGACGAAACACACGCATGGTCTCCTACAAAACCACATGCCAGATCCCTGTGCGCGCGCATTCGCGCATCTATTTGTTTGTCATTCTGTCCACTGAAACCGTGCGGGCCACACGGGCACGCATGTCAAAAGCATTCAACAATCATCGCGCGCTCGCCAGCCCTGCCAGATTTTGCAAAGCGGGCCACTCGCTCGCCTTCCCGCGCGCGCATGTCGAATGTATTGCAAAACACTTGTTCCATGTTTGTTCCAATCTCGAACTGTGCGCATATTACAAACATAGGGAAACTCTCGCTTCGTCACCATCCTCATCATCACCATCGCCATCACCATCTCAAGCGTCCTCATCACCAACGCCATCATTATCACAATCAGCTTCCTCACCATCACCATCACCAACGTTGTCGTCGTCATCACCACCGTCGACATAATTGCAGTAACCATCATCGTCGTCGTCGCATTCGTCATCATCGTCACCACAATCGCAATCATCTCCTTCATCATCATCATCATCATCATCACCACCACTACCACCACCACCATCATCCACATCATCATCACCATCATCACCAGGACCATCATGATCACCATCATCATCACCATCATCGTCATCATCAAGAATATCGTGATAATCGTCGTCTTCGCCGATGTGGTCGTCACCGTCATCACTCGCCCGCCCGAGCCATGGATCTGCATTGGCAAGGTCCGCGTATCATTACGCCTGTTCGAATTTGCCGAGAATTCCTGGTGCTTCATTGCACGCACAGAAGTTTGAACGTTGCCACCAAGTTGCTCACGGGTGGGCGGGATGGTTGCGAACATGGGAGGTGGTCACGCGGGATGCCCACAGTCAGTTCGTAACCTGTCATCAAAAGCTAATAAGACTCCAACCCCCGTTGAGGTTTGGTATTTCTTTCATCTGCCCGCCTGGCAATTGACAGATGATCCTGCCTCAGCGTCCATGTACCGAATGAAATCATACCACCCCGCGCGGTTCTTGTATCGTCCCCCTCCTTCACCCCTGCCGGATAATGCCATGCGGTGCGCACCTATTGATCTAAGAAGTGCGTTGGCTAATAGCGCCTGGCCCCCAAATAGAGTACGGTGCACATGCGCGCGCCTTCGAGGCATGGTTATCCAGCACTGGCAAACACCAGTTGCTGGCCAACGACGGATTGCCAGCAAATTTGCAATCGCGCCCAGGCAGAAGTCGTACGAAAAACAGGTATCATTGGGCCGCCCTGCCAATTCAGACCATGCGGGCCACTTGCGCGCGCATGTCGAAGACGCTCGGCCACCATCGTGCACCCACCACATATGCCAAATAATAGCGTGCGGGCCACACCCGCGCGTCCGCCGCGCGCGAGTCGAATCCGTTCTAAAGCAATTGGAGCTCTGACCATTTCAGCAAAGATGTGCCCAACATCACAAGAACACTTCCACGTGTTCAACACAAAGAGGTGAACAGTTGAGATGTCTGCTGGAGCGCACTTTCTCATCGCCCTCATCCGCACAGTCGCTAGCATCATCGTCAGCGTCATCACTGCCATCGGCGGCATCATCATCACTATCAGCATCACCATCACCATCACCACCACCGCCATCACCATCATCATCATCAGCATCATCAACACCAGCATCAGCTTGAGCAGCATCATCATCATCATCATCATCATCATCATCATCATCATCATCATCATCAGCAGCATCATCATCACCATCACCATCATCATCACCATCATCTTTCTCAACCTCACTATTAATGAGAGCATCACCGCCGCCGTCATCAGCATCTTCGATGTCGTCACCTGCGTCTGATTTCTGCGGGGCGCTAGCCATCATCCATCGTCATCATCGCTAGCGGCATCCTGGGCTCACCGTTTTCATCCCCACCAACTTCAGCATAACCACCATCGCACTCGCCGTCGACATCGTCCTAACCGTCGTCATCAACATCAACAGCGTAATTGCCAGCGCCGTTGTCGCCGACCAGTTGGGTGTAGCCAACAAGTTGTGGGTGGGTTGACAGGAAGGTTCTGGCAAGCAATGGAATTGACGAGTTCAAGATGTCGAAAAAAGTAACGGCACCCCATAGTTTGCAACGAATTCACTGCGCCTCGTAGTCTGAGCCATACACAGATTGCAACACATCTGCTGCATCGCGCAGATTGCGCCGCACAATTTGCTACACATCGGCTGCATCAATATTAGATTGCACCATATATGCCGCACATCGAGATTGCACGAACCTACTGTCAGACACCCGCCAGGCAAACCCGGTAAGCCACACAAGCCGAACTGCAATGGGCAAACTCGTGTAGAGAACCTTGGCCTGGGAGAGACAAGCAGAGCACAAACAAGAAGACACCAAGAGCTACCCATGACAATCATTGCCCAGGCGCGCCGCGCCGAGGAGAGGGAGGAATAAGAGGACGAGGGGAGGAGAAGAGAGGAGCCATTTGAGCGACGATCAAAACGGGTCTTACGCGAGATGACACAGCGACCTTACGCGGTGGCTAACGCGGGCGGCCAGCGCGGAACGCTACTTTGGAGACGGGAGCGCTTACGCGCGACCCTACGCGGGCAGCTTACGCGCCAATATCTTCGAAGGCGACCTCGTTTTTGTTGCGTCGCTCAGGTGGCGAAGGCTACGAATTAGCCCTAGAACGTATCGTCCCCTGGCCTGCCGAACTCTAGCTAATGCGACAGTCCCGGCCCGCATTGAACTGCACAAGCAGCCTAGACAATGCGCTCGCCACGGCAGGAGAAACGAGCGAGGGGGACCAGGAACAGGAGGAGAAGAAGGGAGAGAGACAAATTGAACTGGGCCCAGAATCGACGATGGGCCGACATACCCAAAATGTTTTACGAAACGTGGCCTGCGCCAGAGCATTTCACCTCGCTGGCGCTCCATGCGCTCCCGATGAAGTAAGTCGGCCACCGTGGGGCGAAGCACTGAGCTAAGCGTGATCAAGTCCCTTCGAGCTCTGTGTTGGGTACTGCGAAGGGCTATGTGAAGAGGCCCCAGAGCTCAGATGTCCAGGCGCTTCTGGGCGCCCTTGCGGCGTTGCGCGTGTCATTCCCGAAAGCCCTGGAAGCGCTGACTTGGGGGCTCAAACTGCCAGCATGCCCGCACGATGGTCCCGGGGGGTCTCCCCAAAAACTGGCCCCAGAGGGCCTGCAGGAAACAACACATAAATAGTAAGGCCCCCAAGCGGCCCCAGAAGGAACCGAAAAAGTGCGCTACCGTCGCGCCGCTGGAAGCCATCCCTCCAAGGCGGTCCCGAGATCCTCAAGAGGCCCACAGGAAGCCCCCAGGAAGCCTCCAAGGGCCCCCCAAGAGCCCAACCAAGCGACCTGCACGAGGCCAACAAGAGACACCAAGAGGCTTCTACGATGCCTCTTGTCCACGATACAGGCGCGGTGACGGGATGAGCCGAATGTCACTCGATCTGACACGCGCCCCCTTCAGGAGTCATCAACAGGTGCTACTCCTTCGAGCCCTCCCCGTCCCCTCCACTGCAAGCTCAATCGCCCCATCTGGCAAAACTCGGGGAAGTAGATGAAACCTCCACTGAACTCACTCGTGGAAGCAGCGTTGGCTGGCATCAGCACCAACATCATCATTTTCTTCATTATTCTCTGCCTCCCCAGCCTGTGCTGTTGGATCCGGTAGACATTACTACAGCTTCGACGAGCATGGCGCATGTCTGCTACGCACAACCGCCACGGCCGCGCTGATGGGCACGGCCGCAAGAAAGGTGTGCAGGCAACCCAGCCGTTCGTAGCCTTGCTGACGGGAGCCTAGCTGGGCGACACGATATGACACCGAATGCTACCCTGGACACAGACAGGGGCTGAGAAACTGAACGTGCCAAACTAGTCAAAGCTATGCCACTTAATGTTCAGATGGCCGAGAGCAGCACAACTCGATACGTTCAAGCACAACGGACGGGCAGCAAGTCGTATCCGCATGAACGGCCCGAATCCCTGTGCAATCGGATTGCCGACAACTGGCTTCCAGCATCACTGGAAGAGAACCCAACCTGGTGCCACATTGATTCTCTAGCCCCTACAGCAGGCTTCACACGCCAAGCAACCAAACAAAGCTCAAGGCTGAAGCCCAATGCAAGCTCCGATAATGGCACTTCCGAGTGCACCGCATAAGCGTTCGACACGCCAGCACCTCGCCGCTTCGTTGAATGACTTGAAATGACAGCTCTTAGCCCTGATTCGTGGTAGGATGCCTGGAACATCTGCAGCACGTTTGTCGCACGTGTGGCGGTAGCATGAATAACTGACTGAAGATCACACCCACCCGTCGTTCCCACCCCTGTCGGTCTCCACGAGGAGCTTCATGATAATTCCGATCTGCCCAAGCTTGGGGGTAACACCTTTGCGGCGGACAAGCGGGAGAGACTCACGAGTCATGGTTTTAACTGCGATGCTGATGCCAACGCGAAAACCTTGACGGACCAGCCTACTGAAGGTGACATCACTGGCGACGTTGACAATGACTGCAACGATGACTGGCGAGATTGCCTAAAGAACGCGGACGCCTGGCCATCGCGACACCAAACCGAACTAGAGCAGGATGGGCAGTATAACGCCGATGGGGAAAGGACAAGGAAGGAGAACAACACTGACGACGACAATGAGACAGAGGAGGATGTGGATTTCTTTTTCTCCAGCCGTTCGGCAACATGCCAATCCTCATCAGCGCAACGGCCATACACGCACATGCGACACAGCAACGACCAAACTGTGCCGCAATGGGGAGGGCTGCTCGCTGTGCAGAGCACGCCCGTCATCTCGACGTGCGAAACTGTGCGGTGCGGGCGTGCTGTACAAAACGCGTCTGCGTGCGAAACCGCGATGCTAAGATGCAAGAAGTTCGCGGGGAAAGCAAGGAGGATGGCACGCTGGCCACCGCAGACAATCCTATATCGTCCCGAGCACGATCCAGACCGACAGGCGCATCCACGACTGTTGGTCGCTTGCTTTCCCATAGACGCGGCGCAAAAGTCGCACGGAAGCACTCGTACTGCCCTCGGAGCACGATTGCCGTCGGAGGGGAGGAGACGAATGAGGGGGAGAGGAAGATGAGGGTGGAGAAGGGGGGCGGCGAGAAATGAAGAGGTTAGGGGAGGAGCGGGAAGGGGTAGAGTGAGGAGTAGGGGGGAATTTGAAGGAGGAGAACGCGGAGGGGGGGAGGTCAATACAGGAGGAGGAGGAGGAGGAGGGGGAACTCGCTAGAGTTAGCGGGTATTCATACATTGACAAGAGGAGAAGACGAAGAAAAATAAGAATAATAATAATACATGAAGGAGGAAGAGGAAGCATCATGAGTCGGGGAAGGGGAACAGAGGGGCGGGAGAAGCTGGATGAATCGAGGGATCTGATTCGGTTGGGACGCAATTGAATACGGGTGAAGAACGCGTGACTGCTACGTTCGAGCTTCGCCCGGCAGAATCACAGCGAAGTGTTCGTTTGGCCGCGTCGACTCTATCGCTCAACTGTGGCTGAGGAATGCTGGAGCCAGTGTCCGAGGCGCGGAGGGGGTGGGGCGTACGTGGAGCCTCCCGTCGAAGGAGCAAGGGCAATCGGCATCAACACCACCATCGCAAGGAGCAGCTGAGGATTCTCCTGGTGTTGTTGCGTCGCTGCTTTTCGCGTTCCGCTCGCGACGTCTCCAATCCCCAGCTCACCTCGCAAGGGGACCAGACATCAGGGGGCCAAGGCGCGGTGGCGCCCGAAAAAGAATGAAATATCGAATTTTGCTCGTCGGTTGGCCGTCCGGAAGGAGTGGGCGATCGAGGATCGAGGATCGAGATTGTCGGGCACTTTGGGGGATTTGCTCTTCCTGTGGAGGCCTCTGGGTTCTTCGCGGGGACAAGGAGCAGGAGGCGGCTCAGGCTAGCGACTGGCCCATTCCCATCCCCCCTATGACATCATGACACTCATTGTGGTTACCACTAGACCGTAGCTGCCCCGATACGCATCACGCAACCAGTAGCGTGTTGCCACGGAGCTCAACACATATATTAATCACGTAGGTCTGGCGCGATACGTTCGCCAAAACGAAAACCAACACGTACCGAACCAACACGCACCGTGTTCAACCCATGCATTTTGACACGGCACGCGTTGCGATTCAACACGGGCGTATCTGGACAGCCTAGCACTAGGTTTTGGGACAAATGCGCGATCCCGCACATCACACGAAAAACGCTCGTGTGCGCGCGGCCCCCGCTTCAAACGATTTGGCGCTTGCTCGTAAAAGCAGCTGCCGGCAGGATTGGCGATCGGAAATCATGCGCCTCGCCCGTGCGAAACACACAACTCTCAGGAGCAACACTGCGTGGCGCCAGGGCGAAAGCCACATTTCTCCCTCTCGGCCGCGGCACTCAGCTGCAAGAATGGTTGACGCTTCGCGTATCCCCACCAGCCCATCCAGAAACGATGCTCAGGGGAGTTGAGGTGATCAGGGAAGTCGGGGAGCATGCAGAATAACAAAGGGCGGGGGAAGCTGTCACAGACCCCGAGAGGGGGAGGATGGAAGAGGAATCGTCGTCGTCGTCGTCGGAGGAGGAGGAGGAGGAAGGAGGAGGAGGAGGAGGAGGAGGAGGAGGAGAATGAGGAGGATATGGAGTAGGGCGAGGACGAGGAGGACGAGAAGGAGGAGAAGGAGCAGAGGGAGGAGAAGGAGGAGAAGGAGGAGAGGAGGGAGGAGGAGGAGGAGGAGGGAGGAAGAGGAAGAGGTGGTTGAGGAAGAGGAAGAGGAAGAGGACGGCGAACCGAAGAGCCAGAAGCGTCTTGAATGCCTTTTTCGAAAATCCTCTTGAGGCTTCTTGGGGGTCTCTTGGGAGCCTCTTGGAGGCCTCTTGGGCGCCTCTTGGGGACGTCTTGGCGCCTCTTGGGGCGCTCTTGGGGCGCTCTAGGGAGCCTTCGGGGCGTTCTTGGGGCCATCTTGGAAGGAGTCGACCAAACAAGAGGGGAGCTCCAATTAGCCTCCCCCCTCGGGAGCCCCATAAATCGCCTCTTGGGCCCCTCTTGGAGCGCTCTTGGGCGCTTTCGGGGCCGTCTTGGGGCTCTCTTGGGCCTCTCGTGGGGCCCTTTGGGCCATCTTGGAGCCATGCTGAGGCCTCGGATGTCCATCGGAAGCGAAAAGGCGAGAAACCAAAAAACATGGTTTTTCCTTAGGTTTTGGGACGGTGTTGGCCTCGTCGGGGCCTCCTTAGGGAGCTCTTTGGCCACTTGGAGCCGTCTTGGGATCGTCTTGGGGCCTCTTGGAGCATCTTGGGAGCCATCGTGAGCGATCTTGCGCTATCTTGAGCCATCTTGCAGCTCATCTTGGGCTCTCTGAGGCGCTTTTGAAGCCATCTTTGGCCATCTTGGACGCTCCAACGCGCCGCGGCCCCCCCCGTCCAGGTCCAGGGGAGGGGGCAGGGGGAGGGGTAAGCCCCTCCCCAAGGGGGAAGAGGGAGGGGTGGAAGAGGATCCGCTCTAGACCACCTACGCCCAGAGGGCTGGTGGGATTTCGGACCCAAGCTCCGGCAATCGCATTTCCCTGGTAGAAGCCGCTCAGACTGGTGAGGGGGGGGGAGGAGGAGGAGGAGGCGGGGAGGAGGAGGAGGAGGAGGAGGAGGAGGACGAGGAGGAGGAGGAGGAGGAGGAGGAGGAGATGAGGAGGAGGAGAGGAGGAGGAGGAGGAGGATGAGGACGAGGAGGACGAGGAGGACGAGGAGGACGAGGAGGAGGAGAGGAGGAGGAGGAGGAGGAGGAGGAGGAGGGAGGAGGAGGAGGAGGGGGAGGAGGAGGAGGGGGAGGAGGAGGAGGAGGAGGAGGAGGAGAGGAGGAGGAGGAGGAGGAGGAGGAGGAGGAGGAGGAGGAGAGGAGGAGGAGGAGGAGGAGGAGGACGAGGATGAGGAGGAGGAGGAGGACGACGACGGCACCCTCCCAGTGCCCGATTCGGGCACCAGGTGAGCTCGGACGCGGGGCGTCGGCTGAGGGGTGCGCAGTCAGAGGCCTTCTGCGAGAAAGCGTGAGCGAGGGGCCCCTGCGAGGACGAGGCGGAGGAGGACGAGGAGGAGGAGGCGGAGGACGACGACGAGGACGAGGGGGAGGGGACGGACGAGGAAGAGGACGAGGACGAGGAGGAGGAGGAGGAGGAGGAGGAGGAGGAGGAGGACCACGAGGAGGAGGAGGAGGAGGAGGAGGAGGAGGAGGAGGAGGAGGAGGACGACGACGACGACGAGGAGGGGGAGGAGGAGGAGGAGGAGGAGGAGGAGGAGGAGGAGGAGGAGGAGGAGGAGGAGGAGGAGGAGGACGAGGAGGAGGAAGAGGACGAGGACGAGGACGCGGCCGCGGCCGCTGGTAGACGCAGGTCGGGCGCGGCCCCTGGCACCGGCAAGTTGGCGCAGTACGTCCGCACGTGGCGCTGCAGCGTCGTGGTCCAGGCGACGGCCTTCGCAGCCTCCTTCCGCCGGGTTCCCTGGCCGATCTTCGACAAGTCATTGTTGGTGATCGCCTGCTGCTCCCTCGACGATGCCAACAACGCAGGCACAGCGGGGTGCGTGGCGTTCTGTGCCAACCAGAACACGGGCGGAAACAACGGCGCCTGGCTGGGGCCTCCGGCCCACGCCCTGGCAAAGCACGCGAGGGGGCCCTGCTCGTCGGGCGCAAACGTCTCTGCGAGCTTGCAGAACTCGTCGTAGGCAACCCCGGCGGGCAGAAAAACCAGAGCCCCGAGTTGGGACACCCGGGCGCGGAAGTCCGCCTGCTCCACGTAGCGGGTCTGTAAGTCCGAGAGCCTGGAGCCTCCGGCGCAGAGCCTGCTCAAAGTGAAAGAAGCAGCCCTGGGGGGGCAACGTGTCCAGGGCAGCGAAGTACGGCGTGCTCGTAGTCGAGCAGGAGCACCGGGTCCACGGGAGGCCCGGGGCCCAGGAGCCAGAAGACCTGGGACCAGAGCGCCTCGTAGACGGCCTTCGTTTTTCCAGGGAGAAGTGCGTATACGCACGGAAGGGTGAATCCGTTCACGGAGCAATGGGTTGTGTGGGGTTGCGGCCAGAGCAGCGGGGCGATCTTGAACGTCCCGTCTGCGAACCAGACCTCGCACGGAGGGGGCGGGGCGAGGAAGGCGAGGACGACGGCCAGGAGGAGGAGGATGAGGAGGAAGACGGGGACAACGACGACCACGAGGAGGAGGAGGAGGAGGAGGAGGAGGAGGAGGAGGGCCAGATGCGCCTGTGAGGAACGCAGCGCTCGCAGGCACGCTGGCGAGCCAAAGAGCACCATCCTCGAGTCCCCCGGGCCGCTGTCGTAGAGCACGACGTCCGTGCCCTGCACCTGCAGCGGGCTGGGCCACCGCAGGGAGTGGAGGCAGGCGAACTCGCCCTTGGCCTCCCCCTCCGCCCGGCGGCGCTGCACGTCCCAAGTCCGGACGTTCCATGATTACGAGCCTCTTCAGGGCCTCTGTGGACGGCGCGCCCTCGACAGCGCCTTCGGTGAGGTCCACCAGCGCCGAGGCCGCCAAGGAGACCGCCGGTGCCAGAGGCTGTGCCTTAGCCGCCTTACGCACCTCCGCCTTCAACTGCAGCGCCGCCACCTTGTGCGGACAAGGCAGGTGGTTGTGCTCCCCGACAACTCGAGCGATGAGGCCGCCGCCCGTCTTGAGGGAGCGGCAGCTGGCCTTGCAGCCAGCGGTCTCGCAGGACCAGTGCCACTCCGAATGCTTCATGACGTGCTTGAACCAGAAGGTGTACGCGTCGTGCACCAGTTTCGTGCCCCCCCGGCTTGTTGGCAGGAGGTAAGTTGTCGGCAGCGCCGGGGGGGCCGCGGCCTGTGCAGGGGCAGGCGGTGCCGCGTCTGGAGAGTCGGGGACGTCGATCGCCTGCGGCGCCACGGGCGCCGGGCCCGGAGCCGCGCGGCCTCGGCGGGCAGGGCCACTGCCGTCAGGGGCGGCCGCAAATGGCCGCTTGCGAACCGGGGAGGGGCGCATGGCGCCAGGCCCGGACATTTCGGCGAAAACGCAAAGCCCCGAGCGGAGCCGGCAGGCGGCTGCGGGCAGAGGCATGCGAGAGACCCCGAGGGTTCTCGAGGCGAGAACCCTAACAATCGGGTCGGGTCGGGTCGGGCGGACCCTAACGGGCGGGTTGGGTCGGGACGGGCGGGCGGACCCTAACGGGCGGGTCGGGTCGGGCGGGCGGAACATGAAAGTGTGGTGCATGATCGAGTGGGCACGCGAGAGCCCTAACGGGCGGTCGGGTCGGGTCGGGCGGACCCTGACGGGCGGGTCCGGTCGGGCGGGCGGGACATTAAAGTGTGGTGCATGTGATCGAGAAGGCACGTGAGAACCCTAACGGTCGGGTCGGGTCGGGTCGGGCGGACCCTAACGGGCGGATCGGGTCGGGACGGGCGGGCGGACCCTAACGGGCGGGGTGGGGTCGGGCGGGCGGAACATTGAAGTGTGGTGCATAATCGAGAGAGCACGCACGAACCCTAACGGTCGGGTCGGGCGGACCCCAACGGGCGGGTCGGGTCGGGTCGGGACGGGCGGACCCTAACGGGCGGGTCGGGTCGGGTCGGGTCCGGCGGCCCTAACCCTGTTCCCTCCTCCCTCCGTCCTGCCCTCCCTCAGCCACCTCCTCCACCACCTCCACCGCCACCCCTCCTCCCCCCTCCCCCACCACCTCCTCCTCCTCCTCCTCCTCCTCCTCCTCGTCCTGCCTTCTCCTCCTCCCTCCTCTCTCCTCCTCCTCCTCTCCTCCTCCTCCTCCTCCTGCTCCTCCTGCTCCTCCTGCTCCTCCTCCTCCTCCTGCTCCTCCTCCTCCTCCTCCTCCTCCTCCTCCTCCTCCTCTCCTCCTCCTCCGCCTCCCCCCATCATCCTCGTCATTCTCCTCCTCCTCCTCCTCCTCCTCCTCCTCCTCCTCCTCCTCCACCTCCTCCTCCTGCACCTCCTCCAGCAGCCGGGCGAAAGCAGCCGGGCGAACGCAGCCGGGCGAAACCAGCCGGGCGAAACCAGCCCGGGCGAAAGCAGCGTCGGGCGAAACCAGCCCGGGCGAAACCAGCGCTGGGCGAGACCAGCAGGGCGAAACCAGCCGGGCGAAACCAGCCCCGGGCGAAACCAGCGTTTGCCCTTCCCTTTCGGGGAGTGGTTTACACCTTCCCCTACCCCCTCCCCTGGGCCTGGACGGGGGGTTCCGCGAACGGTCAGGGCGTCCAAAACGGCCTCGGCCAGGAAGCCAAAATCATTGGTATCCGCCGGCCCCCTTGTAGGGCCACCAGGCTGTAGGCCGAAGGTACGCAGTTTCCTGTACCAGTTGCAGCTTCCAGTTTCCACTCTTACAGTTCTGTTTCTTTCTTCTTATTGTTCCTTGTTGATGGACCGCGCGAGGGGGGGAGGCCCAAAACGGGCATTTTACCACGCCCTGAACTTGTTGTCTGAATTGCGGGGGGCACCCGTCACGCAGATCGGCGGGGTCAGGGTCCAAAAACACATGGGATTTGCCACATTTCTGAAATTCGGTGGCGCCCCTCACGCAGATCGGCGGGGTCAGGGTCAAAAACACACAGGGGATTTGCCACATTTCTAAAATTCGCTGGCACTCCTCACGCAGATCGGCCGGGTCAGGGTCCGGTCCAAAAACACATGGGATTTGAGACATTTCTGAAATTCGGTCGCACCCGTCACGCAGATCAGCGGGGTCAGGGTGCAAAAACACAAAGGATTTGCTACATTGCTGAAATACGCTGGCACCCCTCACGCAGATCGGCGGGTCAGGGTCCAAAAACACATTGGATTTGCCATCTGTCTGAAATTCGGCGGCACCCCTCACGAAGATCGGCAGGGTCAGGGTCCAAAAACATAGGGGATTTGTCTAAAATCCAGCGGCACCCCTCACGCAGATCGGCAGGGTCAGGGTCCAAACGCACAGGAGATTTGCCACATTTCTGAAATTCGGCGGCACCCCTCACGCAGATCGGCAGGGTCAGGGTCAAAAAACAAAGGGGATTTGCCGCATTTCTGAAATTCGGTGGTACCCGTGATGCAGATCCGTAGGGTCAGGGTCGAAAAACAAACAGGTCCCGACACAGCTTCACGGCGGCGCCCAGACCTCATGATTTAGCTTTTGCATCTCCCATTATCCAAGACAGGGGGCCAGCGGCATGAGGCGAAGCCCTTACGGATAACAAGTGCTTTGGCCCCATGTTGGCCTCTTGGGGGGGCGGCTCTAATCGAGACCCCCCTTCTTTGATCGATCTCCTCCGAGATGGCCCCACGAGCGCTCCCAAGGCTCCCAAGGGCGCCCCAAGAGGGGGCCAGGAGGCCCCAAGAGGCCCCCAAGAGGCCCCCAGGATGCCCCCAAGAGGCTCCCAATAGACCCCCAAGAGGCCCCAAGAGGCCCCCCAGAGGAACCGAAGACGCTCCAATAGGCTTCGGCGACAATGCCCAAACCATTGATTTTACTTAGGGTTTGGCCACATCTTAGCCTCCTGGGGGGGGCACTGCTTAAGATTACTCCAAGAGCGCCTGGGAGAGCCCAAGATGACCTCCAAGATGGCTCAAGATATCCCAAGATGCCTCAAGATGGCTCCCACGATGCTCCAAGAGGCCCCAAGACCGCTCCAAGACGGCTCCAAGTTGCCAAAGAGCTCCCCCAGGAGGCCCCGAAGAGGCCAACATCCCTCCAACACCTTGGGGAACATCAATGTGGTTGGCTTTCTCGCCTTTTCGCTTCCGATGGCCATCCGAGGCCTCAAGATGGCTCCAAGATGGCCCAAGAAGGCTCCAAGAGCACTCCCAAGGTTCCCAAGAGCGTCCCAAGAGGGCCCCGAGAGGCGTCCAGACGGCCCCAAGAGGCCTCAAGAGGCGCCCAAGAGGCCTCCAAGAGGCTCCCCAGAGACCCCCAAGAGGCCCCAAGAGGCTCTCCGAGGCACCCAAGACGCTCTAAGAGGCGTCCAGGACCGCCAAGAGGCCCCAAAGACGCTCCATGAGGCCTCCACTGGGGGACCCTTCCTCTGTGTGCTGCCCACTTCCCTGATCGAGGCAATTCCTCTGGGTGGGAAAAAAACATCCCAGAAGTAAAAACGCACTGGCGAGAAGCGGAGAAGGTGGGCTGGTGGGGTTACGCGAAGTGTCTGGAATTTGCCTCGTTGGCGACCAACTGTCAATACGGATAAGCGTTGCCAGCGTGTTGCTTTGATGGGTAGTGTGGGAGGGTCAGGTAGGAGTGGCTATTGAGCGGCTAGGTGGCTAGGTGGCAGGGTGGGAGTGTATACTGATAGCGAATACACGTCGGTTGGAAGAAGTACGTAAACACCTAGAGTAGGAAGGCGGATCCAATAGATTAGGTCCAGGTCCTCCCCCCAAAAAAAAACCAAACACCGCAAAAACAGATCGGCCCTTGAAATAGGAAGACGCTTGAAGTAGATTGTGATCTGGGAATCCGAGAATACATATTTTCAACGACCGACGCGTAAGGATATCGAGAAGGAAGAGGAGGGTGAGCTTCCTACAGATCTCAGACGACTTGGCACCTGAATCGTCAGCTCGTCGTTGACGGACCTCCCATGACGAGGGGGATACTCGCAAGCAGCGTGGCGACCCGGCACGGGAGCGCAGGCATGACCCCCCCCCACACACTGCAAACAATTTGCCACCGGGGAAAAAGGGGGAAGGTGACGTATCGAAGCAGAGGCCGAGCGATTTGTGTGCTGTACATCGCGGGCGAAGAGGGGAGAGCGGGGCGCGCGATGGCGAGCAGCGGGGAAAGGGACACGCGGCCATGAACGCCGGGCACGGCTGGCGGGCGCCGACCTCGGTGCTGACATCGTTGCGCGCACAACCGCGGCCAGTTCACAAAGCTGCACGCAGCCGCGTGCCACGCCGCTGCTCCGCGCCCGCCTCCGCTTGACCTTGCCCTTGCTCGTCTGACCCCTGCCGTCGGCCGACCCATCGCTGGCAGTTTCGTCGCCGGGGTCATCAGAACCCAAAGGCGGCGAAGGCACCACCACCAACACGCATTCTTGGCGCCTCTGTCACGCTGTCCCCTGCCTCGTCGGCGCCTCCGCCTGGCCCTCGGCCGCGGCGCCTGCCCCCAGGGGGGGGGCAGTCCTGGGCGGGCTCGCTTGCTGCCTCGGAGGCGTCGCCCAGGACGATCGCCTGCGAGGCGTCGCCAAGCCTGCCCACCTCCGTGGGCGGCCCGCACATGGCGCCAGAGGTCTACTCACCAGACACCTTCGCTCTCCCAAACCTCCCAGCCATTCACCTTGGAACCCTCGGGCGCCAAGACAACGTCCATCCCGGCCTCCACGCTCTTGCAAGGGGTCGTCGCAGAGACGATGCCGGAACCTGTCTCAAGCCCACCGGGCAAGGAGCATTCCCCCTTTTTCTAATGCAGCTGCTGGCAGCACCCTGGCAATTATGAGCTGCGGGTGCTTTCCCTCCGCGCTTGGCCGAGGCGTTTTGCGGCTGCCACCGCGGTGCGAAGCAATCGGCGGCAGCGTGCAGGAAAGACTCAACCTAGGATGTGCACTAAAATCGCCAAACGAGCACACGCCACAACGTACGCATCGACCTCGCTCGGCAGAGCCGCCCAGATCGGGCAAAATGCTGCACGTGGGGACGGGATGCGGCGGGAAACCAAAATGCACAAGATAATCCGAGGGAGCGGGGGAGGATGAGGGGGGAAGGGAGAAGGAAGTGGAAAATGAGGGCAAGGGCAAGGCGCTCGGCTGTTCGGCCTACTTTGCAACGCACCACCGAAAGGAATATCGACCAGGCCCTGCCAGCATGCTGCCAAGCAGGAATGGGATGACCAGGACGCGAGCAACATCAGAAGCACAAGCGTGGCGAGGCGCCGCGAGACCGCATGACTCGACGACTCCACTGGTCCCATCACGACATACGCTGACGTTACTGGACCGGACCGCGCACCTGACGACATTGCCGCTCGCGGCGCGAGTCACAACGTCCACGGCACGACCACCATGTTCATGATCGCTTGAGCAGCCGACCCATGAACGTAACACACACGCACAGACACGAACACAAAAAAACACAAACACACACACGCCCGCACACGTGTACGTATACCTTTCCTCTGGCGTGCCGATGGCATGCAGACTGCAGTTCACAAGGTAGGAGGGCGGAGTACTCTCAGACACACACACACACACACACGCACAGAACATAGGTTGCGGACGGGCATCCCGTTGCACCCCAAACGAAAAATTAATGTGCCACCATATCTTGAGCAAGCAGTCGGGTGCTCCAAGGATCGTGCACGTTTGAGTGGTAGAGGGCTTGTAGGTCAGGACTGCGACACTGTGCGCTAACCGACCGTTGCGGCCCCGCCTTTGTGGCAGGGGAGTGGCCCGGACGCCTGGTGGGGGCGAGATCTCGGTGGCTTTGGGGGCTGCCACTCGAGCGCATGCCGTTCGCAGAAATCTCCCCCCTCCCCAGTCGGCGCGCCCCTCCGGCAGAGACATCGCCCCCGTCGTGGTCGGGGGTGGGGGGGGGGTCATCTTGGGGCCCCCTGGCCGCCCCCCTCCCTGCGGACCCTGCCCCGGCTGCGCACCCTGCCTGCAGGCGTTCCGTCCAGATGTTCGCCGTGCGCCCACCGCCCCGCCTTCGAGTGGGCCCCAACCCCTCTGCGCTCCCGACGCAACAGCCCGCCCGCCCGCGCGCGCGCCTGCACGGACGATGGCGTCCTGGACCTCGCGCTCGCAGAGCCTGCTGTCGTTGCCGGTGTCCATCTCGACGAACCGCTTGCGCAGCTCCGCGTCGCTGCCGAGGCCCTTCCGAAGCCCGCGGCGCGGAGGGGCCCCCCGGAGAGCCCGCAGACGAGCCTCTTGACCAGCCTGACCAAGACAGGACAGGGGCTGAGATAAGGAGGAGGATCAGCAGCAGCATGCGCAAGAGGAGCAGGAGGAGAAAGTTAATGAGGGCCTCCCATGTAGAGAACCCCTTTTTGCAGGTTCCCGTTTTGATGGCAGTTCCACGGTGGAGTTCCCACGTCATTTTCCGAAGCTGCCAACGCGCATAGGCATGCGCGTCACCTTCGCGGTGTCCCTCCTCCTCCTCCTCCTCTGGCTCGTCCTCGTCCCCTACGCGGTCGACCCCGTGGCACATTGGTCATGCCCCTCTCTCAACATCCGCAATCGTGAAAATCGCGCAGCAGAAGTACTCTTATGCGAAATCAACCTTGGGAACGAAGCCTTTGGTTCAATGGCTAGAGATCCTTGCTGAGCCTAAGGAGGAGCCGAAGGACTCATCCAACAAACTCTGAACGCCTGCAAAACCAAACGCGTTCCTTATTACATCGCAGCGGCCTGCAACGTTGTAGGAATAATCCCAACCAGACTTATCGACTCCGTCTCCATTCAGAGGAATTATACCGATACCGCTACCCTTCCCTCGCAGTCATAGCTAGATTCGCTGGTCAGAGCGCGCCCGAGGAGAGGCCCAAGGAGCAGCGGCATCGATATCGTTTTGCTTCCCCATCCCTCTGCGCATGTTGATCTATGCCAGACCGAGCTGTGAGGGCTCCTGAACCCGAAGCGGGGCGAAGACACCAATGGTGTTCTGTTGCTTCGAGGCGCTACATGTGCTATGGACATTCATCGTATGCCCCCAACTCCTTCGGATGCTCCTCCTCCTCCTCCTCCTCATCACGATGCTGATGCTGCTGCTCCTGCTACTGCTGCTCCTGCTCATGCTTCTCCTCCTCCTCCTCCTTCTCCTCCCCCTCCTCCTCCTCATCATCATCGTCATCATCATCATCACCATCATCACCATCATCATCATCATCAACAGCATCATCAGTATCATCATCATCATCATCAGCATCATCATTATCATCATCAGCATCATCATCATAATCATAGTCACCATCAGCAAGAGCAGCATCATCATCAGCAGGAGCATAATCACATACCGATCATCACCATCATCATCACCATTATCATCAACAACAACGTCATCAGCAGCATCATCATCACCACCATCATCATCATCATAATAGCCATCATCACATCACCAACAGCAACAACCTCAACATTAGCATGATCATCATCATGATCAGCATCATGACCATCATCATCATCATCATCATCATCATCATCATCATCATCATCATCATCAGCATCATCACCATCATCACCATTTTCAGCATCGTCGTCGTCGCCGTCATCATCACGGCGATGCTGTTTCTCCTCCGCTTCTCCAACTCCTCCTCCTCATCATCATCATCCTCCTCCTCCTCTTCCCGCTTCCAACTCCTTCTCCTCCTCCTCCTCCTCACGATCAACCCCCGACACACCCAGGACACGCCCTGGAGCGCGTTCTGACCTGGATGTCGAGGCGAACGCAGCCGTGGCGACAAGAGGCCCCCCGAAGGTCCGAGAAACATGGCGAAACACGCCAACTCCCCCCACTTAGCATAGGGGGAAACGGGTCCTGGACCCCAAGGCCTTCCCCCAGGACGAGATCTTCATCTTCAACCGTCTTCAAACAGTCCTGGGGCCCATGGGCCCCGAGAGCCCGGAAACGGTTCAAACCCTTAGGACCAGTTTCCCTCAGGACCCGCTTCTCACATGGCGACCCACCCTCCCCGCCCATCCCTCATCAAACATTTGACATCTTGACTTTGTTCCTGACGCGGGCCCCCTGACCTCTCGACCCCTTCCTGGGGACCGCTCTCTCGTCCCCGTTCTTCGTCCGACAGCCCCGCGGCACCCAAGGCGAAGCCGAAACGGAAGAAAGCCTACAGCATGCACGAGAAATAGGAAACCGGCCTGCATGCAGGTGCCCCACGACAAGTTTTTATCCCCCGATGGCCCCTGAGACCCACACAAGCTCCAGAGCACCCTGGCGCTATCAAAGCTTGACGAACATGTGCCCCTAGGTTTCTTACAGTGGAGGCCAGTCCACAAGAAACCTTCCACAAGAAACCCAAGCCTGAGAACCCAGGACGTCCATGGATGTTTGGTGTGGGAACGTCACGCTTTCCATCGCAAAAGCACCGAAACCCAAGAAACCCAGGGCACCCTGGAGGCAAGAAGGGTGTTTCTTGGCATAGGCCTCCACTGTATGGCAAGATATCTTACCGAATGCGTCTACTGTACCATCGGTGTTTCCTGTGGCGCTGGAGATTCAGATCTCCTCCTCCTCCCTCCACCCTCCCCTTCGTCGCCACGGGCGACGCCTACAGGCGCCGCCGAAAGTCGCCGCTCGCACTCCTCCCCTTAGAAAGGAGGGGGGAGGGAATCGGAAGCTCCTGTGGAATAGCAAGAATTCACAACCATAAACTTTCGGAGATCCGTGCGAACTTCTTGGATCGGCGCTGGGGCCCCCCCGCGGCGCCTCCGGCGCCGCCGCTGGCGCGCTCCGCACGCCAAGGAGGTGCGTACAATGCCAATCCAAGAACTCGGCGCGGAGCTTCACAAATATGTCTATGCCGTTTTTCTTACGCGATGCTGGTTCGGTTCGGTTCGGTCCGAAATCATCGGTGGCCCCGTCCTGCAGGGCGGGGAAAGGGAAATTCTCGAAGACGTCTTCGGGTATCCGCTCGTGCACCCGGCCGCACTCGCAGGCCTTGTACATACACTTGGGGCGCCTCGGGACGGAGCTCGCAGATCCAAATAGCGAGAGCATTCGTATAATGGCAGGCAGACCCAAGTGCTGTGAAGCAGAATACATGAGGTGGAAAACAAGCTTGAGAAAAACTGCTGACGGACAGCACAAGTACAGAGCGCCGTGGGTGTATTGGATGTGCGAGTCTCGCTGGGTGCACTAGGCGTTGGGGAGATACTTCGAGTATCGGTATTGCTGAATGTGCTGGCCGTGCTGGGCATGCCGAACGTGCTAGACGCATTCATTGCGCCACCAGTGCTGAAGACGACACTACACTTCTGGATAATGATAGACTCGCCACGGGGCATAGTCAAAACGGCTGCACAGTGCCAGCATGCAGGCAATATGTGAAGTCAAAACGCATCCGCAGACACATTGGCCTACAATCTCTCATACTGCAGAAACAAATGTTTAGAACAAGTCACAAGCAATGCCTACACGCTTACACCAAGGGTCTCTAACCTGACTTCTGTTGCGAGCTGTGCTCGTCAAGCGTACAATCGCTATGTTCCCGCCCGTTCTTTCATCGTTCTCGTTGGGACCCCATTGCTGGGACCGCGAAGACTGCACCGCACGAATTGCACCGCACAAGTTGCACAACTTAAATTGCTATGCTTGTAATCTCCTCTGTTTGGGATGACAGACAAATCCGCACCCCTTGGTGCATTGTTCTTATCGCATTATTCCGAACGATCGTCCATGGCAAAACCAAATACTAGCATCCAAGCCAGGCCGGTATCGACACCCCCCCATCTCCTGCAAGCGATCTCATGCGGTGCGCATGCGGTGATTCGAAAACTATTGTCCTCTCAGAATGCCTTGCGCAACCGCGCTACGGGGCACATGCACGCACAGCAGCGCGCGCACGTCAAAACCCTTCAAAACCAAGCTTCTTGTTTTTCAACAGCTTCAAAACACTGCTTGTCCTCAACTCTCCAAAACAATGGTTTCTGAACCGCGAGACTTGCAGGAATTCTGCGCGCGCAGTCGCTGGAATGATGAGAACTTTAAAAAATCCTGAGCCATTCCGCCGAAGGATACCATGTGGGGGGGGGGGGCAGGCACTCGCGCGCGCATGTCCAAAGCGGTCTCCCATCATCGCGCGCCCACCAATTTTGCCAACTAATGCAATGCAGGCCACACGCGCACGCTTCCGCGCGCGAAAATCGAAAACCATCCAGAATCAATGCATGTTCAACCAGTTCAGGACAGAGGCGCTCATCAACATACGAGCCCACTTTGTTGCAAGTAGGAAACAGCATCAAGATGCCTGGATTTCTCCCCGGTGCGCACTTTATCATCACTCTCATCAGCACAATCGCTACTACCAACATCAACGTGAACGTTGACATCTGAAGCACCATCATCAACACCGTCGGGATGATCATTGGAGTTGTCTGCGCGGTGGAGTTCCACGCGCCAATGCGCTCCTCAAAATCATGGCCATGTGATCTGTGCCGGCAGGATGTTGCGGGTGGGAGGGTGGGACATTTGCACGAGCACAGGAGCCGACGATTGCCAGTCCCACACGTGGACTCTCCAGTCCAGAAAGAAAAAAACCACTCTTTCCCCCCCGCGGTTGTCGACCCACCCCCCTGGGATACTGCCAATTACATACGATTCTCCCTCACCGCTTATTTTTCATTCCATTCCAGCCAACCGGTTACGCCCTCCCCTCATCTTCTTTGCCATATTATTATATACACGCACACTCGCAGATCTCATAACATCATTTTTCGAAGTCCGCTGCAACAGAAGACCAACAACAAACGCACGAAATCTTCACGCGCGCACAAGTCGAAATCATACCAAACACGACCGTGCTGTAAACATTTCAACATTTGCACATACAGCACCCTTGGGTTGTCCAGGACAAATTTTGCATCAGCCTTGTGCGTGCGCACTTGCTGAAATCATAAATTAGAGAAGCATCTTACATAGCTTAGCAATCATGCCCAAAAACCGTAACTCAATTTCACAACGTGATGCATCCGCGTTCATCCAGCAAGCACCCAGTTGACGAATCCGTATCGAATAACGCCATGCGGGCAACGCACGCGGGCCGCCACTGAGCATCGTGTATCCGATTCCTATCCCCAACGGCGTGGCCTGGGCCCCTCTGGCCGATTCGCCCCCCTAGACCGGGATATAGGCCGTTCCCTTCGGGTTTCGAAAGGTATATCCTCAACTGGGGTTCTGAGATGTTAGAGGTCTGGATGGAGATGGGGATGGGGATGGAGAGGGGGGTTCGGTTAAACGATACTGAGCCACTCGCGTCTCGAAATCTCTAAAAAACTTGTTGATGTCCGAGCCATTTCAAAACAGAGATCTTCAAGACCGTGTGAAAAACAAATACTGTTCAACCAACAATTTGCTGGCGTTCTTGGGTTCCCGCGCGCGCAGCTGCTTGCCATCACCCGCATCAGCGCCGCCGTGTCACGTCTTCGTCAACAACAGTTGCCATCAGTCCCACAGTGACCATTCAAACACCTTTACTACGGACACATACACATCACCATCGTCATCGTCGTCACCAGCAGCGGCGCCGCCAGTGGCCTTGCCGCCGTCACCATCACCATCACCATCACCATCATCATCATCATCATCATCATCATCATCATCATCATCATCATCATCATCATCATCATCATCATCATCATCAGCATTATCATCATCATCACAACACCCACCAGCACTACTGTCATCATAGCAGTATCATAGCTGCCGATGTTTGTCGGCGTCGTTAGAATACCGCGCCCGCCGGAGTCACCGGACCGCATTGAAGTGCCCCCGCGACAGCGCAGCCTTTGAGACGCACTCGGAAGTTGCCAACGGTAAGCGTCACCACGGCCACATCGGTTGTTCCAATTCAGCTGACTGCTACACGCACGAGCTTGCGCCCGTCAGCGCGGGCGCAGAGGATGCCCCAGCCTGGGCCAAGCAGTCATCGCAATCGCGGCCGCATGGGTTGGAACAACAAGTTGCGGGTGGGCGGGTGGGGTGACTGCGCGAGCACTGGAGTTGACAACTCATGAGTTGGCAACAGATTGTACGTGGCGCGTGGCACACATATTGCATCTCATGCGTTGCACCCAATCCGTCGGACGCCACACACTCGCACATTACACCGCATATTCGCCACCGTGCATGTGGCACGCTGGGGCATGGCACAGTTCGCTAGCTGTCTACGAAGATGTCTTACAATTTTCTAGAAGCGTCCAAACCCTCATTCGCCGCAAGTCGTGGTAGAAATCGCCCTAACCGCCGCTACCGCTGTCCTTCCCGCCACCGACGCCACCACCACCTGCACCACCACGAAAACCACAACAAGCAATACCGCAAACATCACCACAATCACAACCACAAGAGCCGCCGCAATCTGAACCTCAACATGAAGCACAGTTTGACGCCGACCAGAGAACGAGCAGGAACGAGCGGATCCAGCTCTGTTTTTGCACCTGGCGCTTCACGACGGTACCTGGGGTGGGCTCAACGAAGTCGCCTCGATCATTCCCCCCCTCTTCCATATCCCCGTACGTCTTTAATGGTATGTGGCGACCTGGCCCTCTGCGACAGCAAGCACGCTCCAACACGGATCGGAGAGACAACACGTCCCGCCCATGCCAGCTTGAAAGGGCCGTGCAATGGGAACTGCATCGGCACATGCGAGCCGACGTGCATGTTTCAAGACGCTGCCACTGAACCTAAGAGTCAAGAATCTCCACGAAGTGACCTGCCGAGGGGGCACGCACATCGCAACTCCACTGCTGCTGCACGCGGATTGCCGCAGAGAGTGGGGGAGGGACTGCTTCGGGAGGGAGAGCGCAGAGTGCAAGGTGCAGGGGGGGGGATCAGAGAGGAGAGGAGGGTCGGGAAGCGTCACAAGGAAGGAGATCGACCGCCAAGACGAGCGCGGGGTGACAACAGATCGGCAAGAACAGGCTCGGCTGACGGGAAAACTGAGGACGGGCAGAGCGGGCCTTCCACGGATGGCCAGATTGTAGAAGTAACAGTGGTTCGAAAATTGCGCCTCCGCAGCCCTGCTCCACCACACCTCTTATCCAGCTCTGCCCGCCCTTTCTATGGCCGCTTGTGACCTCATCCGTTCCCCCTGCCTGCTGACGCCATCGGGCCCCTCGCAAGCTGCAACGCCACGACGGCTGCCACGCTGACCGGGTACACCCGATGCCGAACTATTCGGCGCCAAATGGGGATTGGCACAGTTAGCGCAACCGTGACTGCGCAGTCTACTTCGGGTACCTGTCGGTTTCTGGGTCTGGATATGGGCACGTCTGCTGTTATATGTATGTTGCAGGGCGCCCGCATGGGTACGGGACGTTGTTTTGGTATCAGAATGCGTCTGAATGAGAGGTGCTGGCGTGCTAATTGGACGTGGGATATGTGTACGGATTTTGCCATGAGAGGCTCGTAGACCATATCCTCAATATGGTTCATCACATATGGTTGAATCAAGCAGCCCGCGCCGCGATACAATTCAAGATGTGCAATCGACTGGAAGTCTCTGCATTATGCCGTGCGCGTCAAATTCTTTCGTGCCGCTGAGATAGTCGTGTTGACTTCGCCTCAATGGTCCGCTCTCGTGCGGTATGTGCACGGAGGCCCGAGACCGGGCTTCGTGAGCGGACACACTGATTTAGACGGGCGCGACGACGGCGTGCGCGTCTGAGCTACGTGGGAACCTTGGCCTCGAACCACAATTGCAATTGATCCCACGGCGCCGTCCGAACGAAAGAAAGGCGTGAGCGTTTTCACAAGGCTGCTCGCATCGCTGGCACAACCAAAGAGAACAACAGAGCAGGCACTGGCGCAACGCTCCTGACAATCCGATGGCGTCAAGAAGCCCCAAAACGGAAATGTCAACTTGTGGTCGGCGGCCATACCATCGTCCTGCTAAAACACCCTCGTTGCCGTCCCCGCCCCGCCCCCGAGCCAGGTTTTAGATTATGTGTCCCTCTCCGCCCTTCTTTGAGATCCGTCGAACCAGTTCTGTCGACGCTCACCTACCTCCTCTTGTGCCTGCTGCTGCTGCTGCTGCTGCTGCTGCTGCTGCTCCTGCTCCTGCTCCTGCTCCTGCTCCTCCTCCTGCTCCTCCTCCTCCTCCTCCTCTCCTCCCTCCCTCCTCGCCACATCTCCGTCTTTTGCCCGGGCAACTGATTATGCTCTTGCTCCTGCTGCTCATCTTGCTCCTCCTGCTCATCTTGCTCCTTCGCCCACATAGGTTTTGGACCCTCTTCGACAATTTTGCGGGCCCGCGGAGAGGCCTCCGAAGTCCACCCAACGCGGTCCTCGCGGTCGCTGCTCGCGATAACCACGGCAAGACAAGGTGAGCAGAATCGGTGCCCGTGCCCCACATGTTCATGCGGGAGCGAACTCGACATGGAGCTGGCGCGCAGTACCACGCTGGCTTGGAACACAAGGGCACCAGAGCACCCAGAGCCTGCCGCCCCCAGCAGCCTTGGCGTCTGGCTCATCGTCCAGTGCATCGATGAGCTCGCTTATCTGCCTGGTGAAATATTTAAGCGCGCCACGTCGCTCGAGCGAATGATGGCACCAGAAGCACACACGTTCCCGCTCTCTCCTTCTCTCTCTCTCTCTCTCTCGCTCCTTCTCTCTATCTCTCTTTCTATGTCTTTCGATCCCTCCAGGGGTACCCACAGATGCCAGCTATGGCAAATTCAACACTGCGCTGCAGGAAGATACTGCGCGAGACCAACTCGAATATGTAGATCACGAGGCGGCATAATGCCGGACACAAGCGGGCAACCACCGGCCACGGCAACTTTACAACAACATAGCTGCCCTCAGCTAGACAGCCACAGGCTACCACATGCCAGGTAGCTTCATCTAATCCTGACGTTCAGCAACACCAGAATTCGTGGAATCCTGAAGCGCAGCCCCACCAGAGTCCACGAGGCACCACCATCCACACGCCACGGCAATCTCGTGGAATGCTGGCTTCGTACACTGCCATAGCGGACTCAAGAGATACAGTCTCCGATGCAGAGAGCATCGAGTGACCTAGAATCCTCTCACTGGTTGTCGAACATTGTGATGAACACATCGACAATGAGACGCCACTAGTGGCCACGAGCCAACAAACCGCACCCCCAAGCAACGGGGCCACGAGGGGTTCTGGGTCGACGGGGGTTATGGGTCGACGGGGCCGTAGCAATTTCTGCAAATACTGAGCCCCACACCCTGGGCCCCGAGGCAACGAGGGATCACGAGGCTCTGGGGCCACACTGCGGCAGATCTTGAAAGCACCCCTGGGAAGCAAGGGAACGCGAAGCACGAGGGACTACGGAGCAGCGGGTCAATTACATCTTCGTCGAACTCTGAATCGCGCCCCGGGGCAACAGAGCCGCGCCGTGCGGGGCCTACAGGCGCAACGCGGCAGCGGAGCCATGGAAGCGTTGACAACTCCTGATGTGCACTCCTCCCCCCGTCTGAACGAGACGCGAAAAAAGCTAAAATTATTCCTGTTCGGAATCGGAAAGGCACGACAAGCTACACTGGGGGGGAGAGAACAATCCCGCCCGTCCGCCCGGGGGGGGGGGGGAAGCGAGTTGCGAGTCCGATCTCTTTTTCTAGGACTGGCCGAAGCGCGAGCGAGGCCCCCTCTGCAGATCACGAGCGTTGTGGTCCGGCGCCGTACTCCACGCTGGTGAGACCCGCCCTGCCCGGAGGCGGGGGTCCCACCGCTCAAAGCTCGCGTCCGTGGGGCCCACCCTGCGTCAAACGCAAGATTGGCGCCCGCAGGGCCCGCCTGGCCCGGAGGCGGGGGCCCACCGACGGCGTCCCCCCGCGGACGGGAAGAGGGGTGAAGCCCGGAGGGCCTCGGGCCAGAGCCAACTCCAACCCGCCGCCGGAGCGGCTTGGTGAAACATATCAAATCACACAGGGCTTGCCCTCACTCATCTCCGTCCACTGGGGTCGAGCGGGCGGGGAAAATGGAACCCTCGCCAACGGAGCCCAGGAGGGGCGGAGTGAGCCCAGAGGCCTGGAGCCAAAATGAGCTCACGGAGGGGAGCCGTGTGCTGGGGCGGCCCCATTAGCTTTGTCTGTGGCTGTACAATGCCCTCCTGGTCCCGCGGCATTGTGGAAACCTCTCCGGGGCTTGTGGAACTCACACCCGGGGTCCCCCCCCCTTTCGGGGTTTGTGGAACTCCCCCCCTGGGTTTGTGGAAATCCTTCGGGTTTGTGGAACCCCCGCCCACAGGGTTGATGAACCCCCCCCCAGGGTTTGTGGAACTTCCCTGGGGGTTGTGGAACGCGAGCCCCAGTGTGGATTGCACGTACGTCCCGACAGACCACGGGCAGCACGGCAGACCCAAGCAAAACCCCGCCGTGCTAAGGGGGTCATTTCAGTAGTCATTGTGGCGACCTGGATGCTACACACGCTCACACACCACGAGATGGGCGGCAGACACATGCAGAACGAGGGGCTGTGGAGCGGGCCAATGGGAAAACCAGCCTGGCGTAGCTTCAAGCACCGCCCTCCCCCCCAGCTCCCCCCCAGACGCTTGTCCTCACAATTATGCGACTCTGTGAGAGCGGCCCAAAAGCTTTCCAGTGCCACATCAGCCCTGGCGAAGTGCTGCATCTCACCCCCAAGCAGCGAGGCCGCGAAGATCACGACGCCACAATCGGCAGCCTCGGCAAATCCTGAACGGGACCTCCCTGCGCGAGCATCCCTGAAATGCCACCAGGCACAAAGGCTCCGGGAGCTTCGGCAAGTCCTGAGCGGCTCAATCCAGCACCAGGGCCACGAAGGGCGACCTCGGGGCATGAGGTTCTGTGGCGATGGCACGATCGGCAGGCCCTGACACGCAACCAGAACATCAGAGATCCCCAGAGAAATCCGACATCGCAGCACAGGGCATCTGGGTCACGAGTGGCGGCCCAGGGCTGCAGTTGAATAATACATTGGGGCCATTGGCAAATCCTGGCACACGGCCAATGCTTTTAGTCATGGAACCAAGCGACTGTCGCAGCAAACAGATAGACCATGAGCCAAGGAAGAACAATATCAAATGCATGCCTTTGCTTCGGGCGATCCCTACCCAGCAACTGCTGCACATAGTTTCGAAGTCTGTCGCGCGTGACTCTGTAGCTTGATCTGCTACATAATTGCTGTTGTATGGGAATTGCACGTGATCCGTAAGAAAGGTCGGTGCGCATGTCCGTTCATGTGCAATGTGTGCACCTTAATTGCGCGGGTGATGCTTGTACGTACGTTTGTGATGTGTGGCAATATTCATCTCTATATATAAATATATGTATGTAGACACATTCATACATATGTATACATATATACGTGTGCGTCGCCAGAGCTGATGGTTTCTATATGGCTGTCACTGGTGTGGGTTACTGATCTGTCTTGCGAGTGAGTGCCATTCATGTGCGCTTGCTATTGCTGTATCCACGTAGTTTATGGCCGTGGTGTCTGGTGATGATATGTATTGGTAGTGTCTGTTTTGATGGTGGCAGCTTCGTGCATGTAGTTGTTGGGAATCGCTCATGTTAGATGCCTGTTACGGATGTACGTTATAGATGCGTGTGTGTGTGTGTGTGTGTGTGTTTGCCGGCAGCCAGAGTGTGGTGTATAGCCTCAGTATGAACTTGACACTGTCTTAATGCGGACGAATCTACAACATGTGATTATAGTGCATGTTCCGGACATGGGTTGCTCGCACATGCGACTGATCTATGTGGTTGATGTGTTGGCGTGTGTGTGTGTGCGTGTGCGCGTTTATTCGTGATGTGCGTCCTCCATGTGTTAACTGCATGTCGCTGGCGTGTTGCTGAGAGTGGCGTGTGTTTGGGTTGTATAGTATCGATGCGTGCTCCCAATGCGCGCCCATGTATGTTGCCTGCTATTTGTATGTTGTTGCTGAGGTAGCCTATTTTTGTACAGCATTGCAGTGTAATCGAAAAAACTGTGCTTGACATATGTTCTAAGTGCATGTTGTGCATGTGTGCCGTTTATGCGTGGTCTTGGTGCATGTCCTTAGGCTCTCGATTCATGGCGTTTGTGTATGGTTCTCATGTGAATTATTTGTCTGCCTCAGTGGTTTGTAGAATCGGTGCCTGCCGTTGGTATCTGTTCTTGATGCGTAACGTCGGCGACTGCTTTTGACATACTGTACATTCTTGAGGTCTGCGGTAGATGTCTGTGGACGGCGTGACGACGTGAGGCCTGTACGACGTGACGCCTCCTTGGTAGGGTTCGGCGAGGCGGGATCCCCAGAGACCACGGGGGACTCGCGAGGCCTGCCGGCCGTGTACGCCGGGTGGGCGTGGCGGGTCGGGAACTTTCCTCTCCAAACCTAACAGCCACAACATGTCGGGTGGGGATCTTGTCCGCCATCGGGACGCCTGTCCGAGGGAGCCTGGGAATTTTATACCTCAATGGTGGCACGTCGGGGCGGGACCTTTCCAGCCACCCTGGGACGAGCGCCCCCAGTGGCGAAGCTGGTTATGTTATGTCGCTCTCCTTTCACTACACCCACGAGGGGTCGTTGAGCCCTGACTGACGAAGGGAAATCCTGCATCGCACCCCACGAACTGTGGCCACGAGGGGCCACCAGGGCCGACAAGTGAACGCGAGCATTGCCCCATTCGTCAAATCATGACTCACCCGCGCGCCCCCTTGAAGCAGCGCCAGGGGGGTCCCTGACAGTCGCGTGATTTAGCGAAACGAATCCAACGCGAGCACCCAAATCTAGCGAGAAGCTCCCGCAATGCCCATCCCCGCAACTACTTATTCATACCAGATGCTCATGCACATCCCGTTGTCGCAAAGTGGCGCACTCTGATGAGGCAGAAACTTCCTGCCAATCTGCCCAGAGAAGCGCACGGAGAAAAGGCAGCATGCAAAATGCGTCCTCCCCCAATCAATACTCGATCTGCGAGACCCGGCGATACCATCCACAGAGCCGTCCGCGACCATGTGTATGAGGGCAACCACGGCGTTGCCAATCTGTTGGGGTGACGCATGTATGGTACAGTATGGATCAGTTTTTCTGCCGGTTGGAATGGATATCAGCACTGCATTTTGCAAACTATTCAGTTTCGTGACGCGGCGCTGACTGACGATGATGATGCTTCCTTTCCAAGATCCCTGGCCATATGCATGCTGCGGGTGCGGTTCAGAGCAATCTGGGGTCTGAAAAAAAAACTGACTCCCACCACTCCCATCCACTCACCTGTCATATCCACTGCGCCCATGCCAATGCGAGACACTGGAGCGCGCCAAGCAAGCTCGGAGCAGCACCTCAGCCATGTTGGTTGACGCGCGAGCAGATAAGTGCAAACATTCCTAAACTGGCGATGGTGAACTCAAACTTCCTCCTGTACCCATTGAGTTTTCACGTTGAAGTGCCCCTCTCGGGGTTCGCACTTGCACCTCAGACTGGGCTGTTGGCCCCCGCTCTACACCAACAACAATAACCATCCGTTTGAGACTGTTCGCTCTTACCTGCTCGCGTGCCACTCAACATGTATATCCAAGCCCTGAGTACCCACCATCTTCGTCTTAGATCGTGCACCCCTTTAGGATCTATCTTCGTTATCTGCCACGTGTAGTTGGCACAGCCGCTAGCACAAGGAAAGGGGGAGAGAAAAGAAAGGACAAGGGGGAGGGCGAATGATGCAGCACGAAAGAGATCAGCAGCATGGGGGGGTAGGACGGGAGGGCTGGGCGGGCTGGCCCTGACGAGCGGGTCGGGCGGGCGGGCCGATACGGCTGGGTCGGGCGAGCGGGTCGCTGAAGCGTCAGTCCGCATGAATCACGGGGAAGTGTCACGCGATAGCCCGAGTCCCAAACTTTCATCGTCAGAAAGTCCAAGGCGAGAGCGTGATTCCTGAGTGTCGAGCGCGCAAGGGGGGTCAACAATCAATATTCATTAGAAACGAGAATTCAGCGGTCCCCGCCCGATGCTTTCGCACGATTTGATCAAAAACGCGCTCCCGCGCAGGACAACCTTATATTTTGTCCAGGCAGCGAGCTCTCGCGTGGGACTTCCTAGCGACTTATTGACATACCGCGCCCTCGACACTCAAGAACCACGCTCTCGCTCTGGACGTCCTAACGATTAACACTTGGGAATTGCGCTATCGCTCGGGACTTCGTCGCGATTCATGCAAGACTGACGCTTCACCGACCCGCCCACTCGACCCGGCCGACTGGTCCCGCCCTGCCCGACCCGCCCGTTAGGGCCCGCCCGCCCGACCGACCCGTCTGGTTCTGCCGGTTTCCCTGCTCCTGCATCCCTCCTGCTAATCTCTTTCGTGTTCCATCCGTCTTCCTCCTCCTTGTGCCTCCTCTCCTCCCCCACTTCCCGCGCTCCCGGTCTGCTCGCCGTATGTTTTGTCCTGTCTCCCTCCCCCTTCCTGTTATAAGGGCTGCGCCATCTACGCGAGGCAGACACACCCGCGACCCACCCCGCGCCCGCCCCCTCACTCTCATCCGCTACGGGGTGATGCGTGTGTGTATATATATATATATATATATATAACCTATGCGACCACCCGTCGGGTGGGGGGGACAGACCCACTTACTGGCAAAAGCGGCGGGTTAGATGATGACGATGCTGGGGACGCGCCCTCGAGATAGCGACGACGCGTGGTGACGACGTTGCGCTGCGATGTAATGTCACTATCGCCCCCGCCTTCGACCTTACTCGATCGATCCCACTATCGAACTCACGACCAGTCTTAGCTAGTGTACCAATGGATTCAGCGATCGACCCCAATGTGCTCGCCCGGGGAAGATCGCCTGTCCCGGCGAAATCTGCACGACCCGGGCAGGAGACGTCGCCTCACTGAGCGTCCGACGGCGCGGACACAACCCATGTCACAATCAACCTCACTGTCGATCTCACCTTTGACTTCACTATCCATCCCAATCTAGCGATCTCATTATGGATCTCACTGTCAGCTTTACTATCGATACCAAGGCGGGACACCCTAGGCCAGGGCCCGCCCACCGCCGACGGAACACCGACGGGACACCAACGGGACAGCAAAGAGACACCACAGGACACCGTGGCGGGACACCCACAGCCACCGTGCGCCCACCAGGGGCGGAGGGGCGGTCCACTGCATCCGAATCGCCCTAGCAACGGCGGGGTCATTCCTCTGGCGCGCCCACGCAGCTTCGCCTCGCCCGCACGCACGACACGAACACGAAACCGAAATCGACTTCCAGGTGGGAGGCTCTCCGTTCCACTGCGATCTCACCCTCAACCTCCGATACACAAGTCGCAACCCGCACTTGCGGATAAGAGTGAGGAAGCGGCGGGGACGTCGGCAGTCTGCGAGGCTCTGAAGAAGCCCGCCGCAGGCGCCTAATTTTTACATATTACACAACGGGCTCGCCGCGGGCGCCGACTGTTTCGTCAAAGCAATGTTGGTGGGTCGCAAGGTGGGTGGCGGGTTGGTCGCGGATGGGTCGCGTGTGGGTCGCAGGTGGGTCGAGGGCCGGGGGTCGCGGGTGGATCGCGGGTGGGTCGAGGGGTGGGTCGAGTCGCGGGTGGGTCGCGGGTGGGTAACGCATGGGTCGCGGGTGGGTCGCGACGACAAAAATTACGCTACCGAGGAACCCCACATACTTCTATATGGTTAGAGTGACGATAGCTAAGGTGAAGCATGGGAGAACGTCTCGTCTGGCTTGCGTCCCCCTGTGCCCTGAGCACGATCGGCACGGATAGCAAGCTTGCGTACCGATGTGCCCTGAGCACCACCGTCACGGATAGAGGCCGCCCTCAGGGACCACCTCCATGCGCATCCTCCCGTGGTGTCGAAAAAACGCCACGAATGCTGTGCCCTGGACGACCGTCACGGATAGGGGCCGCCCTCAGAGACCACCCCCTGCGCACCCCCTGTGTGGTCGAGAAAACGCCACGCCTGCTGTGCCCTGGGCGACCGTCACGCATAGCGGCCGCGGTCAGGGACCACCCCGTGCGCATCCCGTATGGTGTCGAGAATACGCCACGCCTGCTCACCCCGTGCGCACCCCCTGTGGTGTTGAGAAGACGCCACGCCTGCCGTGCCCTGGACGACTGTCACGGATAGCGGCCGCGCTCAGGGACCACCCTGAACGCACCCCCTGTGGTGTCGAGAATACGCCACGCCTGCTGTGCCCTGGACGACCGTCACGCATAGCGGCCGCGCTCAGGGACCACCCTGTGCGCACCCCTTGTGGTGTCGAGAATCTGCCATGCCTGGTAGGGCAAGGACGACCGTCACAGATAGCGGCCGCGGTCAGGGACCACCCCGTGCGCACCCCCGGTGGTGTCAAGAATACGCCACGCCTGCTGCGCCCTGGACGACTGTCACGGACAGCGGCCGCGCTCAGGGACCACCCCGTGCGCACCCCGTGTGGTGTCGAGAAAACGCCACGCCTGCTGTGCCCTGGACGACCGTCACGCATAGCTGCCGCACTCAGAGACCACCCCGTGCGCACCCCCTGTGGTGTCGAGAAAACGCCACGCCTGCTGTGCCCTGGACGACCGTCACGCATAGCGGCCGCGCTCAGGGACCACCCCGTGCGCACCCCCTGCGGTGTCGAGAAGACGCCACGCCTGCTGTGCCCTGGACGACTGTCACGGATAGCGGCCGCGCTCAGGGACCACCCCGTGCGCACCCCGCATGGTGTCGAGAATACGCCACGCCTGCTGTGCCCTGGACGGCTGTCACGCATAGCGGCCGCGGTCAGGGACCACCCTGAACGCACCCCCGTGTGGTGTCGAGAAAACGCCACGCCTGCTATGCCCTGGACGACCGTCACGCATAGCGGCCGCCCTCAGGGACCACCCCCTGCGTACCTCCTGTTGGCGCGCATGTGTTGCGTAGTGTGCGTGTGATATGTTTGTGTGTTTGCGTGCTTGTGTGTGTGTGTGCTGTGCTGTGCTGCACTGTGCTGAGGTGTGCTGTGCTGAGCTGTGCTGAGGTGCTGTGCAGTGCTGTGCAGTGCTGTGCAGTGCTGTGCAGTGCTGTGCAGTGCTGTGCAGTGCTGTGCAGTGCTGTGCTGAGCTGAACTGTGCTGTGCTGAGCTGAGCTGTGCTGAGCAGTGCTGTGCTGTGTACGTGCTGTGTGTCAATGATCTGTGTGCTTTGCTGTGCTGTGCTGAGCTGTGCTGTGCTGTGCTGCGCTGCGCTGCGAGAAGGAGAAGGAGGAGGAGGGGTGAGGAGGAGACGTGGGTGAGTCGCGGGAAGGAAGGAAACCAGCACCCCACTAGGCATGTGGGGAACACAACAAACAACAACAGCAACAGCAACAACAACAGCAACAGCAACAACAGCAACAGCAACAGCAACAACAACAATCATATTAAGGCTGTTCGCTCATATCTGCCAGCGCGCCTTCAACACATCTATCCCAAACCATCGATACCCGCCCTCTTCGTCTTGGATCGTGCCCCCTTGGGGGTATCTACCTTTATTAACTGCAACGTGTATTCCATGCAGCCCTACAACAGGTGGGGAAGGAGGATGGCGGAAGATGGAGCACGGGAGAGACGAGTAGCAGGAGGGGGGCTAGGAACAGAAGACACGTGGCAGAAACAAACGGCCAGATCGGGCGGGTAGACCCAAACAGGCGGGTTGGGAAAGCGAGCCCAGGCGGCCAGGTCGAGCAGGCGGGTTGCTGAAGCGTGCGTCCTGCATGGGACGCGAGAAAGTCTAGAACGATAGCGCGATTCCCAAGTAAATGGTGAGATGAGCCCAAGCGAGAGCGTGACCCCTGGGTGTCGAAGGCGCGGCGTCTGAGTAAACTGCGGGGAAAAATCACGCGAGAGCACGTTCTGCATACATTGCAAAGAAGTCCCGCGCGAGAGCGCGATTTGGGAATACATGTTGCTGACGTATCGTACCAAAGAGAAACCGTTGTTGTTGTACCTCGGGGGCCAGGGGCGCAGTTTGAGCCTCAAGATTTTCCCTTGGAGAAAAACAGGGTGCGAGCCCCGGGAGGGGCACTTCA